CTTGGCCACAGTAAACACCTGAGGACCCCAACCAGCATAAGCGTGAAGAACAATAATCCGAGACTCTGTCAAAGCCACTTTAACCAGTAAATCAGTGATGTTACTCTGGTTAGGATCAAGGACCAAAGGTGCTTTGTATGAGATCTTACAACGTCTCTCAGCAAGCATATCCCCTAATGCAGCAATCCCATTTCTCCCATAGTCATCATCAACATAGAGTGCAATTACCTCTTTCCATCCGTAGTGGTCAATCATTGCGGCTACTGCAGCCATTTGATGCAGATCATTCTGGGTGGTTCTAACAAAGAATGGGAACTGAAGTGAAGACAGGGTGGGGTCCGTTACTGAAAATGATAATAGAGGAACTTGGAGCTCATTTGCAATATGAGATATTATATGAGCTGTGACAGCATTCTGAGGTCCAATTATGGCCACTGTGTCTTTCTCCATGAACCGTAAGACTGCAGCAAGAACAGCTGGATCAGAATTCACAGTGTTCCTATATAATGCATTTAAGAGAGATCTTACAAACTGTGAACAAAGTCGCAAGACGTACCTTCAACGATGCCCAGAAATCCACTGTAATTTGAGTCTTGCATTTGAACTATCATCTTAGTTCCACCAAGAACAGCTGGATCAGAATTCACATCTTCAATGGCAGCTTCTATTGCCACTTTAGCAACTTTGCCAACAATGGAATTGAAAGAGAAAACGGCCCCAACATTTACAAATTCTGGTCTTGTAGAGACATTCGTGCTACCCCCATTTGAGGCAACCCCATTATAGAAAACCATCAACACCAAGAGCCAAACTATATTCATCGTAAACCCCCAATTTTCAACTTGCGTTGCAAAGGAAGCAAACCAGCCACCCAGAAAGCGGTAGAATCAACTGGACTTCAAACTCATACACTGGCATAGTTAAGAAACATCGAAAAATAAGCAAGCAACTAAGAATTTCATCCAGTAACATGAAGAGAACAACTAGGTGCTGAAAGAGTATGTACACGTAAGCTCAACATCATAAACTCCACAAGAAGTAGATTAATAATTAGAAATTCCCACTAATAACTAGATCTAATCATGAAACATAAACAGACAAATGATTCATCATAAGCGTGAAGAACAATAATCCGAGACTCTGTCAAAGCCACTTTAACCAGTAAATCAGTGATGTTACTCCGGTTAGGATTAAGGACCAAAGGTGCTTTGTATGAGATCTTACAATGTCTCTCAGCAAGCATATCCCCTAATGCAGCAATCCCATTTCTCCCATAGTCATCATCAACATAGAGTGCAATTACCTCTTTCCATCCGTAGTGGTCAATCATTGCGGCTACTGCAGCCATTTGATGCAGATCATTCTGGGTGGTTCTAACAAAGAATGGGAACTGAAGTGAAGACAGGGTGGGGTCCGTTACTGAAAATGATAATAGAGGAACTTGGAGCTCATTTGCAATATGAGATATTATATGAGCTGTGACAGCATTCTGAGGTCCAATTATGGCCACTGTGTCTTTCTCCATGAACCGTAAGACTGCAGCAAGAACAGCTGGATCAGAATTCACAGTGTTCCTATATAATGCATTTAAGAGAGATCTTACAAACTGTGAACAAAGTCGCAAGACGTACCTTCAACGATGCCCAGAAATCCACTGTAATTTGAGTCTTGCATTTGAACTATCATCTTAGTTCCACCAAGAACAGCTGGATCAGAATTCACATCTTCAATGGCAGCTTCTATTGCCACTTTAGCAACTTTGCCAACAATGGAATTGAAAGAGAAAACAGCCCCAACATTTACAAATTTTGGTCTTGTAGAGACATTCGTGCTACCCCCATTTGAGGCAACCCCATTATAGAAAACCATCAACACCAAGAGCCAAACTATATTCATCGTAAACCCCCAATTTTCAACTTGCTTTGCAAAGGAAGCAAA